AGTGTTTAAAGTCACATTAAAAACATAAAATAACACTTAAACAAAAAAATATTAACTTTTAAAACAAAAACTTTTTTTGTAATAAGGAATAAATATATTTTATGTTTGGCAAAAAGGAATAAATATATTTTTTAACAAGACGTTTATTGTGATGCTGATGCGTAATCATTGTGACCTACAAGTCTCTCCCCCTCCCTATATATAAGGGTTTGGGCAAACCTTGAAACCTAAAAACCCTAAAGTTATTGTTACAACCTCGTTTTTTTTTTGAAACTTTGAAGAATGACTGCGATGTCGGATCTTTCAGAGTATTTGATAGGAGAGATACTCTCTAGGGTTCCATTGACATCTCTCAAGGCAATGCGATCGACTTGCAAAATGTGGAACGATTTATCCAAAAAACAAATTCTTTGTAAAGTTTCAGCAGCAAGGACGCAGTTTCCAGGGTTAATAACGATTAATTCTCGGGTTTTTTCAGTGGATTTGGAAAGAATCGAGAAGAACAAATACTTTGTGTATCCAACTATCAAGCAAGTAAGTAAAATTGATCAAGTTGAGATATCTAATGTCTTTCACTGCGACGGCTTATTGTTATGCGTCACCAAAGACAATAAGAGGAGGCTCGCGGTATGGAATCCGTATTTAGGGCAAAGGAAGTGGATACAACGACCTATATACAAGTTCAAAACCATTGACATGTATGCTCTCGGATACGACAACAACTTTAACCAAAAAATCTTGAGGTTACTGGATTATGATTACGTAAAAGGCCATAGAAAATACGAACTCTACGATTTAAACTCTAATTCATGGAGGGTTCTTGATGTCGAATCCAAATGGAATATATATAAAAGCGGCGTGTCTTTGAAGGGAAAAACTTACTTTGTTGCTCAAAAGGAAACACAAACCGATGCTTCAGAGAAAACAAGAGATTGTTTACTCTATTTTGATTTTACGTCAGAGAGATTTGGACCGAGTCTTTCTTTGCCGTTTAACTCTTACTCTCATGTTACAGGAATTAAGACTGTGCTATCTTGTGTTAGACTTAGAGATGAGCAGCTCGCTGTGTTATATCATCACCACAAGTCTGGCATGATGGAGATTTGGATTACGACTAAGATTGAGTCCAATGATGTGTCATGGAGCATGTTTTCGAACGTGAATATGACACGGCTCAATGGGTTTCCGAATGACGTTTTGGAGTACTTTGAAGTTGGGAGCTTCTTCATTGACAAGGAGAAGAAAATGGTTGTGGTTTCGGGCAACGCCGGATCTTGGGAGAGAAATGTATGTCGCTGCCCAACAGCTTGCATCATTAGAGAAGATAGATTCTTCAAATATGTGAATCTCAGAGAATCTCAGCAGCATCTCGCGAGAGATTTGGACCGAGGTTTCTCGATCGAGAAACCGCGCAACTATGAATGTACTGATCAACCCTTGTTCTCTTCTTATGTTCCAAGTCTGGTGCTACTTCAAATAGGCGACCGGACAAGAGGAAAGAAGGCGATTATTAACTAGTCATAAGACTATTGATAACCATTTATTATTAAGTCTGCACAATTTCATGTCAAACTTAATAGGTCATAAAGTTGTTACCAGACATAACATTCTCATCATGTTTTTTTTTTCTGATATAACATTCTCATGGTAAAAATTTTCAGTTAAAATCTTAATTTAATCGTTAAACGCTTATTGTAAAGGCTTCTCTTACTCATGTTTATTACACCAAAACAGAACATCGTGACAAGAACTCTTATATTCTCTTTATTTGTTTCTTATTGTTCAAGAAACCTTTTCTCAATTTCTTTTTGATCAAGACTTGGGAGGAAATGAATATATATAACAAAGTAATTAACCTTCGAAAACCCTTTTCATAACTCACCAGTTCAATGACATGAGACAGCAACTTTTTTGAGTTTAGTCTTTATATACAAGTTACCAAAGCTGAATAAGAACAGAGAATCCAGGGCTAATTCACTAGTTGTCAAAAAACCATGTATCAAATCTCATTAACAGGAGTGATTCCAAGAAGGTGGAAGCATTTCATCATGACTATGGCCGTTGCTTCACATAGTAGGAGACGGCTTGTCTCCTCTGCTGAACCATTGACCTGCAAAAATTAAGGAATGATTTGAACAATGGTGGTGATTGATTAAGCAGAGCTATGAATGATGCAGCCTAATATCACAATATTTGGCTAAAAGAAACGTAGAATAATGGGAC